GTACATTCATCTTTTTTGTCGATGAAATTACACAGAACGGGCAGTATGGCTAGGTATAGGTCACTAATGTTACAATACTTGAGCTTCATCCCCTTTAGAGAGCAAAGATCACTTCAAGGTACTCCAACGATCAGTGTCAGGGATTTCAGTCGACAGCTGAGAGCCAGAAGATCGTTAACTCAGAACCGACTCGGAACGACCTTCTGACTCCAAGCAGACATTCAATATCGTTCCGATGAATCAAGTTCACAAGGGGCAAATTCTTAATGAAATATTTCTTATGTAGAGTTGTTTTTGATTTGATTTTGATTTTGATTTGATTTGATTTATTTTCCACTCAAATATCCACAAATGAAATGAAATAATGACATTATAAACTATACAGTAATACAATATATAATGTTATGGTCTAGTGGAGTCACCGGACTGTAGATCACAAGGTACGGGGTTCAAATCCCTGCCCGGCACTAACGTCCTTGGCAAGACGTTAATTTACATTTGCCATTTTCCATCCAGGTGTCAAGTTGGTACCTATCTCTCATGGTCAGAGCTACGACTGATTTAAAGTCAAATGCGTCTCTTTTGAGACTGGTGTCAGCTTCTACAAAATGATGTTTTCTTTGCAACTTGAACTCTGTCATCATTACCATTTCTCAAATAAATTCACCTGAATAATAATTGTTTATACGTGCATCTATCTACATTTGTGACATATGATACATGCAGTGAAGAGTCAAAGCTACCCCCCCCCCCCTCGCTTCCCTTTCATACTCATCCTTCCCTCTGAAACGGCTGAAACTTAAAATAGGAGGATCGTGCCTGCCCCTAGGGAGATGTTCTTCACGGATCGTTGGCCGCAGTCAGGCCGCGACTAGCCATGGTCTCTTCGGCTGGGTACCTATTGATCGCCGAGAGAGGGGGAGAGGAGGAAGAGGGGGAAATCAACGGGAAATCCACTAATGAAAGTTTCCTTCCATCGGTGAATTCAAAATGTATTTTCTCACCGATAGATATGGAATTACTGCATTGGGATGTTTAGGTGAAGATGTTAGGATTGAGAATGAAGGCATTGGGATGTTTTGGTGAAGATGTTAGGATTGAGAATGAAGGCATTGGGATGTTTTGGTGAAGATGTTAGGATTGAGAATGAAGACATTGGGATGTTTTGGTGAAGATGTTAGGATTGAGAATAAAGGCATTGGGATGTTTTGGTGAAGATGTTAGGATTGAGAATGAAGGCATTGGGATGTTTTGGTGAAGATGTTAGGATTGAGAATGGAGGAGAGTTCTTATAACAGCACGGTTGTTGGTCACGTAGTTTTCTTTGAACCAGGTTTTAAAATAAATAATATTTGAAAAATACTTTAGCCATCACCACCATAATTGACATCATTATCGTCAATCATCGATATCATCTTGATCATTATACATTTAGTAGGCAAACATATGCCTGATTATTTTAAAACGTTTTTAACCAACGTTTTCTTTTGTTTTAATTTGGAATGTTTCATGTGGAAGAGGCAATGAGTTGGGGCTGCCCCAACCCCAAACCCCTACCCCCCCCCCTCAATTTTATTTTGGGCAGCAGTCAACTCATATGCAAACAGCAAGGTGGTTCAATGGTATTTTAAAATTATCTTATCGGGTAAATTGTTATTGTACGTTTTCGCTAGAAAATTCCGAATCTCGAAAGTTGATATTCGGGAAGACAACATCAGCCCGTGGCAACATTATATCCAAACGTCTCTTCGTAACATCTTTTTTCAAAACAATGTTTGTATTTATTAATCAAAACAATGTCTGGTAGTAATATTTGTCATTCTTACATAAAAAGACAATTGGAGCATATGATTTGTTCTCAATACACAGAGGTAATGCGAGATGGAAAGAGAATCCCCAAACACCGTCTATGAGGCATCAATCACTGTGAATGAAATACAACACTGTCGCCAAATATTTGAATCACCATTTTTCAAAACATACCGATGCATGTGGTCATATAATATCCCGCGGGACTGAATATATTAAAGATATTATATGTTGAATACTGGGAGCTCTTGCAATCCAATTAAAATCATTATGATATAAATATTTGATAAATGCAACTTGATTTTCAATTAATCAGGACAGTGTATTTAAGACTTGTATTTTTTAATAATTTTTATTGCAATAATTCCCCAAATGTTTCTAATGCAAGAGAGCACTGGTCAATATGCAATTCCATTGTCAAAATATATTTTCTAGAAATTAATTTGCAGAGTTCATTGTGTAGTGGACATGGTAGATAGGTACAATATTAATTAAAAGGTTTTTGAATCATCACAACTAGCCTATAACAAAGTTCCTAAATCTTGCTAAAAGTCACAAATATGGAAAGGAGAAGTCACAGATCTCGTTATATCGAACCACAGACATAGTTAACTTTTGAATACAAAGTTTAAAAAAAAAGAAATTATTTAAAAGGTAATGCTTTTCATCAGACGTTGCTTTTGTGACATCCGAGTTCACTTGAAATCATGGAATGAGAAATCTCATAAATTAGTTATCACCCTTATCTACCAGAAATCAACCCTTTAATACTACGGAGCTAAGCCTATTTAACGAAACAAATGCCTAACGATAAAACAATAATGCATTTGTGTGGTATGTTTTGAAAGAGCGTATTGTCACCTATCGTTCGAATCGGCTATAACTCATTTCATTCACTCTTACTGACTTAACGGTCATAAAGAAATAATAAGGCATGAAATGTGTTTTCTCGCTGATTAGTTATGAAGGTAATTCATATCGTGTAATATAACACCTTGTTATGGGCCAAACGGAGGCAATATATCAACTGACAGAGCTCGCTTTGTTTACCCCCAAATTCATTTCTTAACCTATGTATAAGAATTTATAGAAGGGAAAATAATTTCATACCATAGAAAATGAAGTCTTTGATAAAACAAATGTTTCTCACATCGTGTCAATGTGGATGGTTTCCTAACGATGTTTTTGTTTTCAAATCGATACAACCTTGATGATTTTCGAGACTTCAATTTCCAAACACATTTTTATTGCTTTTTAATCAGGCCTACACATAATTTATCTTGTATTAAATATCACGTGGTTACATTATACCCCACATTTATTGTTGGATATAAGTTTATTTTTTAATTTTTTATTAATCTTTAGATTTGGTTCGTTGGTATATTTTACCTAAATGTTAAAAAAGTATAAGAATGCTTGTAAGCAACTATAGGGAACTGAGACGTAGCCACAGCTGTAGGTCCTGTGCGAGATACTTGGTAATGAGTGTTAATGGCATACCAAAGCTAGGGCACTATCGCATCGACTAGGTTTCGAACCCGGGGCCTCTCAGGTACAAGACAACTTACTGCTCTGTACCACTGAGCCATCACGCCTTCTCTATCTAAACTCCTTCTACTTCACAGCCCCCAAGCCACTGTCACCATCTCTCCGTATCATTATCTCTAACCTATACACATTACAAAGATATCTTCTTTAAACATTATATTTCAACCCATTTATTAGGCTATTACCGTTGGGAAATAGGAAATGAAAAGATAAATACTTACAAAATACCGATTGACCCAAATACATCACGCACATCTTTGCGTTAGTACATCGAGTGGTTTGAAGCAGTCATGGAAATTTGAAAGTCGCATTGTAAAAAAAAATATCTCAACATTTGAACCTTGAATATTATATATACATGACATGAAGCATCCTTCATGACCCTTCAAATAATTCCATAGTGCATTATGCATTACTCATCGAAAATTATATAGCCTTCCACCCCTTTCCAACAAAATTGAATTCCATCCTTAAGTACTATACTATACGTACGACTGCGCGGCTTTAAATTATTCTGCTTTCTAGATTAAAACAACAGCAAAAAATGATAAAATGTCCGCAAATGTCTGGCAGAAGAAGAGAAAAGTCTAGAAAAATGCGAGCTCAAGCAATCTTTCTCGTAGACATCGTAGACAAAGAATTTAAACGAGGAAGACAATCATCCGCACAGACAGAAAAATATATAGGAATTAACGCAAATCGAGGCGGGGACGAAGACAAGGAATTATTGTCAAAAGCTCGCATTATTAGCTTTTTTCTGGTGAATTTCAGGTCAGGTTATTTTCTTGTTCTTTCCCAGTGGCACCACTTTTACATAATTTCTAGAGCAAACAAATGCAATTATTACTGGCTTGACTATCTATGTAGGCCCTGACTGAGAGGAAGAAATATTCACATGACATGTAGCTCAATATAAAGGCATTGTTTCATAGTTCCAAAGACACATGTCTACCAAAAGCATTATTTTCCCCCCAATGTTGATAAAAAGAAAATCGAGGTCACTGAACTTTGACCAATATCAGGTGTAGTTGTTAGGTCTCTTGCAACGGGTTTAGATACACATGTACGATGAATAATTTGCTGCAGGATTGTAAGATGTGTAGTTTTGTTAGTTAGGAATAATATGATTATTTACACAAGTTCATTTCATTTCCTACTTTCTCTCTCTCTCCCTGTCTCTCATCCCCCTCTTCCTACCCCATTCGCTCTATCACTCTCCCTGTCATGAGCTATATACCTTCCCCTGCTCTTATATATCTGCTGCTAGTACATACGAACGCAATACAATTATTACTTGGTACTGTCATTATGTTACTGATTTATTTACTATGCTTTGTTATACTATTGTACATGTATATAATCTACATCACTGTATTTTTTGTGAGTTAACCCTTTCAGCTTTGTGCTGCTGGTCGATTATTATATACCAATAAATACATAATAAATACAAATGTTGATAATCATGGGGTTATGTATGTATTCATGATGTAAGATGGATATCTTTCCGCTTTGAATACTAGGTAGCCACTATGAAAACAAAAACACTATAAATCATAGGAGACAACATAATAAGCTGAAAAGAAAGCGAGGCAAAGAAACAACATCTAAACATTGCAATGTGCATTTTGTTTTGTTTATTACCATTTTTTATTTTCTTGAAAATACTCATGAATTTCATGTAAAAAAAATTGAAAATATGAAAAAATAAAATGTATGAACTAGGCTAATTGGCATCCATGTTCTATGCAAATACATTGTACACAGGAAAATATTGGATTGACACAATACCGATACAAGAAAAACTACAGTCTGAAGTGATCATTTATTCTTGATCAATAAAATGTTATTGGATGAAGGTCTGATGATGATCATGGACATTTGAAGTTATCAACCTAAGCAATTAATTAGGGTGATTGGTTGCCTGGCTGGCAACCAAAGTTAAAAAGTCATAAAAGAACCTTGTCAGAAATTGGTCAAAAGTACCATATGACTTGCTGGATGCTGGTATCAATCATAAGAGATTATGAGCAATAATTCATAGGCTTACAATCAATTAAGTACAAAGAAAATACATTGTATATCCATAAATTGAATATGGGCATTTCAAACGTCACAGACATGACATTCAGATCATTTCTTTTGGTTATTTAACTGAAGACCCTTTCAAACAAAGTTAAGAGTCCTAAAACTTATTTCAGTCAGTTATTCAGACACATTTGACCATCAGTCACATACATAGCAAATTTTGCAGTATTCACTGAATAGTTGAAGAGAAAACAGACTCTTTGTAGCCGTAACAGATATGAAATAAACTGGACAAGGATATATTACTCACTGTTAACAGTTTGAAAAGTGTGTGACTGTTTGGATTCATTGCATCTAGTTTTTGTATTAACAAAAGCTTCTAGTCATATTCTAAACATACATACATGTTATACAACAATTGAAATATTAATTTCCTTGTAATAGCTAACAATATGGGGTAACTGACATGACAGATTAAGCCTAAAGAACGTCACATTTTTGTCTGCGCTTTATAAGCCCCTATGGCTTTGCTTTAACGTGTTCAATGTGACATTAAACGCTAATATATTAGGTAGGTATCTTTGATCCCTCCAACATAATTGACTACCAAAGAATCGAGTCTGAAGTGCTTGTGGTAGGAAATCATGAGACTAAAAGATTGGATGTTTAATAAAATTGTTGCTATATTTTCACCTTAAATTAGTTTTTAAAAGAAAATCATACTAAAATGTACTTTGCTCTCACTAATGTGCCACTCAAAGTGACTAGCTTGTTGATACCAATTTGTCCCCATGCTATACAAATTTCTGTAGCTATTGTAGCCAGTTGTATGACTTTTGGCTAGTAAACATTTTCCATATAATTCTCCAAATGCAGAACACAATATCATTTAGTTGAAAAACAATGTGACAGAATACATCTTGAGCCCTTTCAATCTGCTTTTATTTATTATGTATCTCTTTAATTCTTCAAATCTTTCAATGAAAGATATACTGAAGAAAGTTTCATAATAATGAACAAAAAATGCACCTTTCCATTCTACATCCATTTGCCTACATAAAATAAGAGTTGCTCAGTACTGTTTATGTAGAAATAATCAAATTAATTAGCTAAAGAAAATAGAAAATATGATGTGTAATCTTTACACAATCCCTGAATATGTTACGTGTAAATGAATGACAGAATGGAAGAGACTATGTGACTTGGTCATAGAGGAAAGAAAACATTGTATCTTTGTCAACATTTAAATGTTGCTTTATGCATCATTACATCAAAGAATATTACTTGGACTTTATTTCAAAACATATGAATAATCTTAGTAATATCATGACTACATTTCAAAAAATATATTTAAAACTACAATTTTACTGTGTAACCTGTTATTTTCATGAATGTCTGAATCATAGAGCTCTTATGGAAGATTGTAAAGTACACACATATTTGTCCCTCTCTTCCTAAATTCCTCTTGAGGGTAAAATGTATTGGCAACCAAACTAGAGTTGACTTGAGATACCACACTCACCGTTCTCTCCATGAACAGCTATTGTGTTTATTAATATAATGTAAAATGCTTACATTCCAGACAAAGTTATTGATGGAAAAATCTTGTCTGAGGTTTATCCAACCCAGCAACAACTATTCAGTAAGCAAACAATACTTTTTAAAAAGGGAATTAATTGTGTGAGACACGTTGAACAACAATGCTTGTCTTATCATTGAGAGATAAGATGCATATCTGTAAATATGAATTCAATACAAAATGGTCTTCTTCAATCCATTTCTTAAAGATAAAGTTGAGTTCTGGTCATGCAATTGCATTGTGAAAGAAACGTTGTGGAATCGATCAGAAAAGGTCGATCATCTGGCATATAAGTATTGGTATGGACTGCAAGGTTCTGGAATCATCAAAATGATAAGAAATTTGGCCCAGTCTTGGTAAAGTTACAAGCACTGTACGCAGAAAGATGTATATGGGACTACACGAACATGTAGCATAAAATATGTCCCGATTTTCGTGATGTTACATGCCATATTTAGAATATTAAGGCATTTGAAGAGCCATGCTTTTCAGGGAACATTTTTTATCTGATGTTCTTCCACACTTGCATAATAACAATGATAACGCTCAAAAAATATTTTTCACCTCTTCCCAGAACTCAACTTTCCATTAAGTTACAATTTGACAACTAAATATCGTCAATAACAGTTTGAATAACATCTTCTAATTGCACTTTCTCTTGTATCTTTGTCCAATCTAGAGATAATGCAGATGTCCCTCAGAGTTGCCAAGGTCAGTGTCAGCACACGTCCTGCCTAGCATGTCAGTTCATCACCGAGGAGCCTGACTGCGGCCGCTGCTCTACGGATGACTTTAGGTGTATTCGACGCTATGCAAAGTGTCTACGAAGAAACCACTGCTCAAAGCGGTACTTCCCTTGCCTCCTGAAAGAAACACCGGTAAGAAAAGAGGAAATGGATGATTATATGCATGTTCAAGTTCAAGTTCAAGTTCACTTTATTCAATACTTTCATTAAAAAATATACAAGGAAAACAAACATATAAAAGTTAGAATATAATACATGTATCAATATATAACATGAGGATAACACAAGTGGAGAAGACATGATGGACAAGGGGAAAAACATTTTAAACATGTACATTAATGAAAGTATTTGGAGACTAGACAGGAAGGCCGGGCCTTATGTAAAAGTCTGTCTCCAGTAATTGTATAAAAAACTAAGTACATTATTTAAATTTTGTATTTGTTATAAAAAGGAAGAAATAAAAGGGGGGGGGGGGGAAATTTCATTCACGCATGTGGTTTCCGTGTAAGAAGTACTTGTATCAGGGGAGGTGAAAGCACAAATAACACATTGCATAATTTTATATATGAAATATTGCTTTATTTTCTTTCTTTTTTTAAATTAAAATATTATGCAACAGTAAAGGTGCTGCATGATTAACATAACTCTGAGTGTTTCTCCAGCAATTAATGAAAACTTCCTCAATTCTATGGTTTCTGGTGAAAAATACAGAGTGAAATAATAAAGAGAAAAGCCTTTACTACCAAAGATGGAATAGGGCCCTATGATAGATGGTGTTGCAATTAATCTGAGTATATTAAAATCCCCAACCAATCAAATGTTATGATCTCATCCTTTGTTACGGTAATGGGTACTGGATGACATAAAAAAGTAAAAAGTATCTCCTATTAATATTCCTCTCTCTCTCTCTCTCTCTCTAAGTGCCATATCGACTGACTTTGGCAATCATGTTGTTCCAAAACCCTCAGCTCCTAGCCTTCTGTATTAGTACCACTCCCAGTTCTTTCACTCCTCTCTCTTCCAACAATATCTGCAGACTGTCCATCCAAAGTATCCTCCTTCCTCTCCTACTCCTTCTTCCCACAATTAATATTTACACAGGCTAAATTTCTTAAGATGATTAATTAAAAAATAACCATTAAACTTTGTTTGTAATCTATATGAACAGAAATATTGTGTATTATGATTGAATCTGACTGAATTTCGGTCAATAGACTTTTAATTATCATTTTTTCCCTCTTTCATTTCCATTGCAGGAATTAACAGGAAAGTTCCAGTGCAAAGTACCAGAGTGCAGCACCAGTTTATAAGAGCACGCTTCATCTTTAACCATAGCAGTTCAGAAGTTACTAAAGATCTCAATCAATCAAATTTCACTCCTCAAAATTGGCAACTTCTATTTTTATCTTTCAATCTTACATAGCTGAAAACAAATAATCAAAAGATGTAAGGTGACACTGAACTGCTGTGGGATATCTTAGTTATTGAGACCAAAGTACTTTTGTTTTTAAATATCATAACAAAGTGTTAACCTTTAAGCAATAAAAACCTTTCAAAAAGTGAAGAAGAAAAAAAAGGTGGAATGAAAAATCCAAACTACTGGTTAGATTATTACCGGTAATCAGCAATTAAAATATTTTTCATTTATTTACAACTGTAAATTCACCAAGATTGTTATGGTTGGCAGGAAAAGGTTCAATCATACAATCTGAAACTCATTAACCCCAATACTATGTGATTGGAAAGAGGCTGTACAAGTTTGGGGAAAATCCTACTCATTGGCTAACTCATTGGCTAACAAGACAAATAAATAGATATTAACAAATCATTAATCAAATCACAAACATTGTTTGGATTCATACATTCATGTACCAAGTTGATATCATGTCCATCATTTGTGCTTTGGTTTAAAAACTTGAATGGTGTCCATAACCAATGACCACAATGGGACATACCTAACAAAAGAATATTTTGTGCACAATTTTTTAATAAAATAATTTTCTTGTTATTGTATAGAGTATAATAAGAATCAAGATGACCAATTGTAATGAAATTAAATTGATGGTATGACAAGAAAATCTATAGAATGATCAGAAATATATTGCAAACTGGAGGGAAATATTTGACTACAGATGAAGGAAGAGTTATTCGGTTAGAATTTAATTTCAAGTGTGTGTTTTCATCAGGAGGGCTAAATTCATTGAAGAATCACAAACGTAATTACAAAATATATCAAGATAAAAACTGACTACAAAATTGTATCCTCTCAAGATAGGAATACTGGAATAAAACAGTAGGACTGACATTTTTCATTGATACTTTTTTGTTATCCTAATGCAAGATGAAAATAGATATTCCTTTAATGCTTAATTCTCCTTCTTCCTGATTGTTCACTATATTGTAAGTCTGATATCAACAAAGCATAGTTCTAATACAAGGGATTAACATCTGTGCAAATGACTTCCTTTAAAAATTTGATTTTTACTGTAAATAATGTAGGCTTTAATTTATTGAATATGAATAACGATCATGCTAATTGTACATATTTGGATGAATGCAAATGATGTGAAATCGTGAATACATGTTTATCAGTTCTTTTGTGTTTAGTTATTGTGGAATTATGAATTTAATAACAGTTCTTGAGAACTGACACAGTAGAATAAAAAAATAGCAGGAAATAACATACATGTAGATATGTCTTTTGACATGTTTTTTTTTTTAGGAGGGGGGGGGGGGGGAGCTAAAACCTGGAGAGAAAAGTCCTGGACTAGTATCCAATGAAATTAATTTCCTCGATTTAACCAGTACACTGAATTACCAATTCTAAAGAGGGTAGAATAATAGAAATATAAATTAATTAATTGAGAACAAAAGTGCTGGCATATATGTGAGTGTATATGACAAATGATTGTATTCATGCTTGGACTGACTATTGTATCATAATTATGTTTTTCTGTTTTGTTTTCAAAGTTGAATTCCTGACAAAATTGTTTGTGTGAAAAATTGTTACTTTTGTACATATTCTTATTTATTTGCATAATAAAATGCTAAATTAAAGTTTAAAATTGAAAATGCTTGCTTCTTTGTCATCATGTTCTGTGTTTTAAAATATATGCTGAAATGATGTGTGATTGATTGCATTTAAAAGTAATGAAAGTCATGATCAGAAAATCAGCTGCTAAAGTTATACATATTCAGAAGTCTAAACTGCACAACAGTAAAATGAAATAAAAAAATAAAATATGATGTGTTAAAAAACAAAGAAACAAAAACGAAATTTCATGAGTGTGGATGTAAAGATGTAGGAGCCAGGTACATTACAGGCAATAGACATAATTTGCTATTTTGTTTTCTATCAATAGCATTATCTTTATAATAAATATGAATACTTTTCCCAGCAAAAATTGGTGGGAAAAAAGTACCAAAATTCAAATCATCAAAGAGAGCCAGAGAAGAGAAGGATAAAGAGACAGTGTGGGAGAGACAGACAGACAAAGAGACAGACAAAGAGACAGAAAAAGAGAAACAGACAGAGAGAAAGAAAGAGAGTCAGAGAGAGAGAGAGAAAGAAAGAGAGATATTGTATAATTTTGATTAAAGTATGGAATAAATTGAACTTGAACTTGGATGTTACATCATAATGTCTTACGGCTATAAAAGAATGGTTTATTGTCATTATTATTATTATTATTATTATTATTATTATGAATGTGTGAAGCATATGTAACAATACGCTGTCTTGAGAGGTTCTGGTTGAAACTATGGGCAAGAGGTGACTCAAATAGTACAATTTGCTGAGGGGCGCAGCCTCGAAGCAAATGTTCCTTTTGGAGTCACTGAGGCTCATAGTTTTAACCAAAACCTCAAAAAGAAGGCAGGTATATTTGTTTTACATCCTGCATCCAAAAAAAAATTGTATTATTTTCTTTTCTTTTTTTTTAATTTTAAAAAATTGTTTTCTAAAGAAATTTATTGAAAAAAAAAACTAATTATTAAAGGCATTACAAAGTTTTGGTAAATTTTGAAAATTGGCTGGATAGTGATTCTTTACAATTTTGATATATTTGGATACCCCTATGGATATGGTGGTATCTTATATGAAATCACTTGGTATAACAATCCAAGATAATCTTAAATGGGATCTACACATTAAAGCCATTGTCAAAAACGCATCACGCAAACTATATGTACTGAGTAAACTGAAAAGGAACAGTGTCAACACTCGGGACTTGGTATTGATATACATGATGTACATTCGTCCGTGTCTTGAATTTGGTGTACCCGTTTGGTCATCTAGTTTAACTGTTGTTCAAGTAAACAGCATTGAGCGGCTGCAGAGGAGAGCATTGGGTATTATCACTGGTACATTTCCCAACACAATGTCTTATGCTCAACTTCTGCAGTCGCTGAGTGTTGTCAGACTATTTGGACGACGCTCTGTTCTTTGCGAAAAGTTTGTTAAATCCCTACTGATCTCAGACCGCCACCGGCATCTCTTACCTGAAACCAGACAAACTATCTCATGACGCACTCTCCGCAACTCTCTCCATCTCAATACCCTCAAAATGAGAACAGAGCGTTACAGGCAGTCTCCCATTCCCCACTTCACACGAATCCTGAATTCAAATCTATAGATATTTTCACTCAATATAATGACCATATGTGACCGAGATGTAATTAATTAATTTCTTGTCATGCCAATTAATCAGATTAAATCAGATTTCATACTACCTGTAAAATGATAGGACTATACTCTGTAAGTAAACATAAATTGTATATTTTGTATTATCATATCTCTCGGATAATCATCTATATATTAATCTGAAAGTGTATAACAAAATTGCATATGACATTTAGAAAATGGTAACAACATATTTTGCTATTTAAACGTTTTAATTGCATAATAAGAACATGAATTATTTCACGATTGTTTGAAATTAGTTGTTTAGTTCATTAGAATCAGTAATTAATATAAAAAAGATTGCTAAAGGTATCGATTTCTTTATTCTTGTATGTATTTATAATTTGTAGACTAAATTGTATGAGTCTCCAGACTTTTTATTCAGTATGTTTTTATTTACAATAAACCAGAATTGAATTGAATTGAATTGAATGGATGTATTATAAGCACCGACAAATTTGGCCTCTAAAAAACTTCTGCTTTCGAGATAAATTGAATGTAAAATTTACTGGTAAATTTTGATAAATTTTGAATAGCGCCTACGGCCATACGGCCATGGTAGCTGCGACCATGAAAATGTCAGAATATGCAGTCGTGATATATAATTTCCAAACGGTAATAGCAAATCGGTCGATTTTAGTCAAATAACATTGTTTTATAGCTACCGGTAAATTAATATCTTGACCTTGAAAGGGCGCTATACAACATAAAGAGTTTATTATTTACAATTTCATCACTTTAGACTCAATTTCAACCGGGACAATGATCACTGAATATTGTAGGATCGCAAATGCTTCCAATATGTTCATTTGAACCAAATTCATGACCCCATACCAAAACTTTGTATTATCTTTAAGATTTTTAGTTTTAATTTTATTTTAACATGTAACAATTTTAATTAAAAATTCAAATATTTAAAACAAACTTTTTTTCCTACAAGTCCCAAATAGTACTTTATCAGAGCAACCTTAAATTGGTTGAAATATTTCTGGTCACATGAAGAGCTCACAACCAATCAAAAACCAATACATTTTGGATGCAGGATATAATATGAAATAGCATCCGGGGAATTTAATTTTGAATATCTTTAAATATTACATGTTCAACAAACTGCTACAAAAGAAAATCAGTTGATCTAAATTAGTAGTGAAATATATAATGAAATATGTCAGTTACACTAGTACTTAGTTACAACAGTCATTGATTTCTGTATTACCTTTCTAACTGTTCAATTGTGGAATCATCCAGTTGGTTTTATGTTATCTAAGCAACACAATTTTGTTTAATGAGAGATGTTGACATTTTACTTTGAGCTTTTCTTTCAGTACATGAGTGTCGAACGATGAAGAAAAAAGAGGGTTTACAGGAAACTTTGCGAGTGATTCACACATCCAAACCGTCAGGCTTGCATTGAGTCGATTCTAAGTATGCCACAGGGTGCTAGGGTGACTGAAGTTTCACACCCCTCACTGAATTTTGACAGATTGGGAATGCGTTCCCACTTAAGCTGATCCAAAATGTGAAACGTCTTATGACTATGTGAATGGAGGCCTTACACAATCCCTAGTGATCATATCTGATGTTTGCTCGCAAGAAAACTATTATCTTAACTCAATAGAGAGAGCTACTCTTGGGGTTTCCAAAGAATTACCAACAGCCCACACAACCATTTCATTTGCCCATAAGACTGATTGCCCATGAGTCTGCTGGCCCAAGAGACCACCAGCCCACAAGATCAACGTTTGATCTCAGATAAATTTTCCTCAGATTAGCAGAGTGGTGTCGGTCTCATTGGCCATCGGTCTCAGTGGTGTCGGTCTCATTGGCCATCGGTCTCAGTGGTGTCGGTCTCATTGGCCATCGGCCTCATGGGCCATAGCTTGTCAATCTGTATTGAACCTGCCCCTTCATTTCTCTTTCCATATAGTGAAACAAACATATCCAGTGGTATATACGACAGAAAGAGGTTGGTACATCCCCCATTTTTCAAGGCTCAAAGAAGACAAAAGCAAGCAGCATGCGAGGTGTTTTGGTAGCCTAGGTACATACATGTACATTTTGCCTCCCCCTGTGGAGGGGATTACCCTTTGATTATTTATTCATGAATGTGCCACAGAAATCATGAGACTACATGTAAGTCTCCCTTTTTAAAGTGACCTCTGTTCAGAGATACTGTATGTACAAAATAAGCCTAATTCTCCAAAAACTATTCATCACATTTCTTTCATTTTAGTCAATGACCAGCAATACAGTAGCAATACTGAGCTGCTGTGAATTCTAAATGTAATCTAGAACAGTGTTTCTTGACATTTACCTTTTTCTAATAGATGGCTACCCAAATATAATAATGGAATCTTGGGAGATCAAAATGTTGAACATTTAGCAGTGTGAATGAGGTTGATGTGGAGGAGGGGAGAAGTTTCAGCTTGTCACGTCTAATGAAGCCTAGCAAAGAGAGATTGTCTGTGAGTTATCTACCGACAGAAAACATGGGGGATTGCCCCTAGAGTCTGGTGGTTACTACGCTGCCAAGATGACTTTGGGCTGTCGGTCGTCGGTCGGATGAAGGATTGGGGATGAAAAGTCTTAATCAGTCGAGAGGTAAGATTACATCACTCTGGAAGCAGTAGCTGATTTATCATTTTATCATTTGTCAAAAGGATTACCTGAAGGTGTTTGAATGCAGGAAACGTCAGTTATTGTTCGTAAGACTTTTCAACCTTGTCTCCTGTTTGGAGGGGAAAGCAGAGTCAGATATTTTCTGATAAATCCTTCAACTACTTGGTAAAACATAAAACAAACTATCTTGACTTGATACTTTTTGGACATGTGCCTTCAATCAATTGTTACCAAACAGAAGCAATATTGACTAATGACAGAAGAAATTGATTAATTTAGGTAGAGCTTCAGTATTTGCTCAATAGCAATGGACAAGCACATCCCCATAAATTTCTCTCAAGATCCCTAAAATTTCCATATGGGGGAGGGGGAGGGGTCCACTGTGCACAGACCCCCTCCTCCATGTCAGTTCAGATCCCCCCCCCTCCCTGCTTCCGAAAAAAGGAACGCTTTGCATCCTGCCTACCGAGAGGTGATGCGTACTGTGCTTTTAAGCAGTGATAACGATCATCCTTCTAAATCATCAGATTTTGTTGAATCGAAACTGCCTTGAGTCTATGAACCAATGAGTCAAGACTCTGTGACACATCTCATAGCAGACAGGTCCTTCCAGCCTCACGTAGATGATGTTTTAATCCAAAACACTCTGCACATTAAAAGTAATATTCAATTGATTCTTACAGACATGTTTAGAAACAGCATGGGTATCATAACGAAGTGCATTTCGCTTTGAGTTGATATACTTAAATTTCTATTGTTAATAGAATA